GGGGTGAAATGATATCTCATAGTTGTTTTAATTTGCATCTCTCTTAGGGCTAGGGATTTTGAGCATTTCTTCATGTGTTTGTTAGCCATCTGATTCTGGTTACACTTTTGAGGCCAATTGTTCTGCCAACAGTCCATGGTACATTCAGTATTTTTGCCAAAATCATAATTCAAAGGCACACATCTTTGGTCTTTTTTATTTATTTTCCAGTGTAAGTGTAGTCTTGACTCTCATCAAACTTCATTATTAAGTAACATTCTACCTACAGAAAAGATAACATTATGTACAAGGAAATGTTCAAACTGTAAGTGTAGTTTGACTGATTTTTGACAAATACATAATACTTTTATAATTCAAACCTGTCATCATATAATAAGCATCTTAGAAGATTCCTGACTCTTTTCCTGTCAGTCTCTATGCCTACTCCTGTGAAAGAAGGGTGGACAGGACTCTCATGTGATTTACTGCCTCTGAAAACCTGAAGGAGGGTGAGCAGTGATTCAGTACTGACTTAGCTCAATGTCACACTACACCACCTACTCCCAGAAACAACCGATATTCTGATTTCCTTTTTCTAATGTACTTTGATTTCGCTTATCTCTCAACTTCCTTATGGTCATAACAAAAAATGAACAGCAGAAGATAAACTGCATGTATGGAAACTTTAAAAAGGAAATTCCTATGTGTACCCTTGGAGTTCTTCACAAGAGTAAAAAGGAACCTAGAGTCTTGAAAAAGAATTGACAGTGGTGTACCAGGAAAAGCACTAATCTGAAAAATGTGTAGAAAACTTTACACTTAAGCTAACAAGATGAATAGTTCAATGAAAAAGTAGGAAGAGGACATGAACACAGATTTCTTATTTTTAGTGTATACTGAAGGCTATATATAGTTTTTGAGCTTTGTCAGTAAGTGCTTCTTGTCATCTTTTTCTACATAAAAAAGTTGTATTATTTGCATATTGCAAGTTATTGATGAGTTTTGTTCTAATCCTGATGCCGCATTCTTCATATAGTGCCGCTTCTCATATTCTTTGCTCAACATAAAAATTGAGTAGGTAGAGAGAGAAAAAAAATCGTGATACGTACCTTTCCTGAAACATACCTTAAACCATGTTCTCTTATTCTAGTTAAATGATTGTTCTTTGATCTCTGCACAGGTTTTTTTCAGTGTTATTCATGTTGGTTATAATCCATGTAGTCAATTGTCTTTCTACAGTCAATGAATCAAACATTTTTCTCTGCACTTAGCCATTATTCACCTTTTCAGCAATGATGTTCTTTATTTCACAGCCTTTCTGAATCCAGCTTGAACATAGTGTTGCATTTTCAGTGATGAAAACTTATGTTAATTGAAAGTCGTGATGGTCATACATATCTTGTACTAAGAATGAAAATGAACTAAAAATATAGGGATTCTATTTTATAATTTTTTTCTTCCTTTTACATTGTGAATTTAATGAAAGTTTACAGAAAAGTTGGGTTTTTATCCTTTCATGGATGCACATTTTCCTCTCACCTCCTCCCTTACCCCCAAATTCAGCTTGTAATTAATGCACACCGTACATGCCTAATCATACAGTCCTTTTAGAAAGTCCTTTTCGTCTTCTGTTCTGGTGCATTGTTCATTGTCTCTCCACTCTTTTGCTCCCTTCCCCCCACCCCCCAGACCCCTGTGTCTGTCCTGTTTCATAACAGTGGTCTTGTGCAGTATTTGTACTTTTTTGACTGACTTACTTCACTCAGCATAGTCTTTTAGACTCACCTATATTTTGATTATTTTACAAGTTCATTGTTTTTCAGTGTTGCACAATAGTCCATTGTGTAACTATACCACAGTTTTCTCTCCATTTGTTTATTTACAATAGGAGTTAGGCTGTTCTTTTTGCTGTTGTGAATAACTCATCAGTAAATATGAATGTACACATACTTATTTGTGATGTGGCTCTGGTTCCTTTAGGGTATATTCCCAGTAGCAAGATAACTCTAGGTCAAATGGTATTTGTTTCCAACTTTTTGAGATAGTGCCAGACCACCTTCTATAGTGGTTATACCATTTTATATTCCCACCAGCAGTGAATGTAAGTTCCAATTCCTTTACATCTTCCCCTGGGTTTGTTGTTTGCTGCCCTATTGAACTATGCTGTTGTTGCTGGAGTCTCTTTTATCTTTTGTATGTTATTTACAGTTGTTTATTCTTATAATGACATTTAAGAATGAAATATGTTTTTTAAATAAAAATATTTTACTTTTAATATTTTAAAAATCTGTTTTAGGAGCTGTATCACTTAAGAATCTCAAGATAAAGGAAAATGCCTTGGTGAGTTCAAATAGAAAAATGTCTACATATAAGAAAATTTAGTTAGACTGACTTATTTATATTTTATCTATCACAAATAAATCATTTTAAGTTTGAGAAATGTGTTTGAGAAGTATTTTTGTGCAAATGTGAATTTGAAAAGTAGGGAGCTTCCAACCCAAAGGCAAATGGTTCTAATTTATTACCTACTTAACAAGAGCAGTTTAAAGCCTCTAAGCACCCTCTGGAGGGTCAGCTATGAGTCAATTCCAACTCGACAGCACATAATTACTCCAAATTTCTCTAAAAGTACAGAGTGATGGTGAACATTTTCCACTTTTTTGCTTATAATTTAGAAGTGGTAATGTTTTTGATATGGTAGCTTTTGTGCCTAGTGTTACTATAGAACTTTTTCTATAATTAACTCTAATGAGTATCCCTGATCCAAAGCAAGCCTTTACCGTACCAGGCCACTGCTCTTGAGTAGATTGTAACTCATAGTGACAGTTGGTTAGGTTTACAAGGCTGTAAATATTTACAGTCTTTCTCCTGAGGAGCAGTTGGTAGATTTAAACAGCTGACCACAGAAAAGTCTTTCTCTGTGCATACATGCATGCGCGCGCACACACACACACACACATACACACACACACACACATACACACATATCCTCTCAATTCTTACTGCTATGAAGTTGGAATCAACTCATAGCTGACTCCCAGTTTGGAAGGCTTTAAATAGCATAGGAGGAGATTACCCATTTGAGCCTTTGGTGGATTTGAACCACCAGCATGGCACTGCTTTTGAGTTAATTCCTAACAACTAGGCCACCACGACTCTCTTTGTAACTACTACTGCTAATAAAGTTGACTATGGACATTTTCCACTTAAAATCCATTTGACCTTTTATTGTAAGATTTTATGAATTCTTTTGAAATCTGTGGCTACTCTATTATGTGGGCAACTGAAGTGGTGCACTGTGTTACATGTTAGGCTGCTAATCAGAGGTTAGTGGGAGAAAGATGGACAGTTTCCAGATGTAAAGTTTACAGCTTCAGAAACAATATACCTCTCTCTGTGTGTATATATGTATATGTGTGTGTGTGTATATATATATATATATACACACACACACACACTCACACACATATAAAATAACAATCTCAAACTCATTCCTCTTGAGTAGGAATCAACTCATAGTTGACCCTCCAGTGAGTTTTCAGGAGGCTGTAAATCCTATGGGAAACGATTTCCCATCTTTTTCTCTTGTAGCCTTTGGTGAATTCAGACTGCCATTTGTCTAGTGGGCTAGTGTAATTCTGTGGATTATGCCAGCAGAACTCTTTCTCTCTGTGTGTATATGTGGTTATGGTGGAGGAGTTAGAAGGGTAGGCAGTGTCCTCTGGTAAAGCTTAGTGGTCTTGGGAACCTGCTGGAGAGCTGCGGTAAGTTGGAATTGTCTCAGTGGCGGTGAGTTAGGTTTGTGATACATAATGGTAAATAAAATGTGTAAATTTAAGAATTCTTCATACAGTTTTGGAAAGAAAAAAATGTCTTGTTGGACTGTGTTCTGTTTTTTAAAATATATGCATAAATACACATATGTACTTTTTTTTTCTAGAATCAGTTGGATGTACCTTTTAAAGTTAAAGCTGGTCATATAGGTAAGCCATATTTATTATTTCATTGTCATTCTTTGTGACTGTGTAGCCAGAATATTATGCTTAGTATCTCTGTACGATAACCTTTTTAGTATTTTTGAGCATGAGATTTGGTTCTCATGTAGGTAAAGCTTATTTTATTCAGTTTAAAAATATTGTGTTACACTATATAACTGGATCAGTATTTGATACCTAAGAAATGACACATCCTATGTGCTAAATGGAATTTTTAAAATATTGTTGAGCACCAAAGAATTATATTTGGTATAGAGCTTATCTGTCTCAGTTTCTTAGATTGATGATTAGTTATTATTGCCTTATCCTGGCTGATAATAGATACGTAAAGAATAAGATCTAAATTATCCTAGTAGTGTGTTTAGGGGCCAATCTGAAAGCTAGTGTCTGGTCTGGAATGTAGGTTTGCAGGAAATACCCTGCCATTTCCTGTTCTGTCTTAGTTTGGTATAATTTCCCAATTGTTTTTTTTTTATATTTTAATGTATTGATTGAGCAGAAAAAGAACATGGGGTTTTAAATACTGGTAAAAACTTGTCTGTAGTATTTTATGAATAGGAGGTTGACGCTTTGTTAATTTAAATATTGTATAAGCCTAGTATACCATTAGTTGAGATTTTAAAGTATTTTTGTCATTGATGATTATTGTGGTAATGTTTTAATAATGTTATAGAAAGTATAATATAACTGGGAGTACAAAGTATACTTTCTGCTTGCTTATACACATGGTTTGGGCTCCAGGACCAGATAATTGTAAAAAAATTAGTGTTACTTAAAAATGGTAGTTGACTACAACATACCTAACAACCAAATTTAAGTCACTGTCAAATTGCATCATTATATAATTTTAAAAATACATTATTATGTAAGTTCCAAACACCAAGGATTCCGGCTCAATCAAATTAACACATAATCTTCACAGTTCCAGCCAACTGTCTAGCATCAGGGAGTTTGTTATTGCCAGCAATATGCCGTTGTTTTGCGTGGATTTTTGATGTAAACAGAAAATGCTTGTAAGGTATATTATAATTGCAAGTCCCATTCTTCTTTGGGGCTGTGAGGCCCGAAGCCCAGTTATAATTTTATGTAAAATCCTAAGGTAAGGTAAGGTGTTAAAGGCATTCAAATCTTCACAACTAATCAAGAATTAATATGAAAACAGTCATGCCTAATATTAATTACAATCATAGCCAGTACTCAATGCAAGCAAAAACCTCCTGATAGTACACAGAGTTCATTGTGAAGTTCCAGCAGAGTTTTGAGGAAAGGGAAGATGCCAAGCAGCAGCATCTTATCCTCTAGTGCCTCAGGTTTGCAGCCTTGAGAGTTCACGTTAAATTCATTATGCTGTGCAGGGTATAGCCATAGTCAGAGTCTTTCCATGCCAAGGTGTAACCAGTCACCATTGAGGCATTCTGTCTTTTGATTAGCACATGCTGTCATGCAGGTTCTCCTTTCAGGGGTTTAGCCTATCAAAATTGAGATGTTCCACTTTGAGATTAACACTTTGAGTCTCTGGGTGTTGTGTAGCATCTTCTGGTTAGCATATTATGTCTCTAGGCCTCTCTTGATTAACACATTATGTCTTTGGACATTTTGTGATAATATGTAGCATCCTTACTCATCACAGCATGCCTTTGGCGGCACCTTCTCCAAGACATACCAGCGTATTATTTGGCAGTCAGTGGTATTTTCCAACATCACAGCTCAAAGGCATTGATTCTTCTGGCATTCTTAAAGCTATGCCCAACTTTAAGTTGCATAGCAAGTAATTGAAAAAGATTATAGTTTGGATCCTATGCAGCTTTAAACTGACATCATTGCTCTTCAGCATTTGGGAGAGGTCCTTGACAGCTGATTTTCCCAGTGTAACATATCTTTTAATTTTTGACTGCTGGTACCAAGGGTATTGGTTGTGGAGGATGTTAGACTCCCTAGTTTCAAATCAGTTTTGCAAGAGTGTGTTGTCCCCTTTTCATTGAATATTGTAGTCTTAAATATTAATTATTCATTTAAGGATCAGAATGTATGTAAATATTTTAAAATTCTCTAAGATTTGGCCAACTGACTGGAAGAGATCTATATTTGTTCCCATTCCAAAGAAAGGTGACACAACTGAGTGTGGAAACTACAGAACAGTGTCATTGATTTCACATGCAAGCAAGATTCTACTGAAGATCATCAAAAAACGATTAGAACAGCACATCAGCAGAGAACTGCCGGAAGTCCAGGCTGGGTTTAGAAGGGGTCGTGGTACTAGGGATATTGTTGCTGAT